TAATTGTCCATAGTAATGCAGCTCTGAGTGTAAAGTATTCTCCTATATGTGCATCATACACTCTTCTAATCCCATCCCACAAACATTTTAAATCATCAATCAAAGGCTCCAAGTAGACGTTTATATCATTTCTGGGTTGTTTGGTACCAGAAATCAATAAGGTCAACGTCATGAACTTTCGTTTCATGCACAACCATGGTGGGAGATTATATGTAACTAAAATAACTGGTCAGCAACTATATCTACTACTTAGAGAACTGTGGGGATTGAATCCATCAGATGAAAGAGCCAATCTCAAGTTTCTCGACTCATTACCAAACTCGGGCCACTTATCATCAACAAGTTTCCAAGACGGGGAATCCGCCGAATGAGACATCTGACCGTCAATTGATTTTCTAGCAGCATGCCAATTCAAACTCTTAGCTGTCTCATGTGATTGAAACATCCTTTTAAACCTTGGAATTGGAGGAAAATACCACACCACCTTCGCTGGCACACCCTATTTCAAGATTGAATCTTTGCCTTCCTTCCACCTTGAGATACCGCAAGTAGGACAATTAGTTGAATATTCATACTCCTTCCTATACAAGATGCAATCATTGGGGCATGCGTGGATTTTCTCATAACTCAACCCCAATGCACACAAAGTCTTTTTTGCCTCATACATAGAGGCCGGTATTGTATTTCCTTCTGGAAGCAAATCACCTTGAAGTATCAATAATTCTGTAAAACAGACATCACTTATCCCATGTTTTGCCTTCAAATTATACAACTTCACTAATGCCGATAACTTGGTGTACTTTCTACAACCAGGGTGCAATGGTTGATCTCCATCCCCAATCACATTGGCAAACTCGTAAGGATCGGATCCAAAATCACCAAAATCAGTATCATCCATCTCTATTTCTTCAGACACAAAACTGTACCTACTATGGTCATCATCTTCTTCAACATTTCTACTAGCATTAGTAGTTGCTTCCCAAGGTTCTCCGTTAAATGTCCAATTCTTATAGCTTTGGTCAACTCCATTAAAGTATAAATGATCCCTTATAATTCCAATCCCAAACAATTTCAAATTCACACAATTAACACATGGACAACGGATATGTGTTGTAGTTAGAAGATTTTCTACAGAAAATTTCAAAAATGCTTCCACCCCTAACTCATATGCCTTCGATCTTCTATCCGAGCGCATCCATGACTTATCCATCTCCGACACTATACCCTATTATCTATAATAAAGTGAAAAGACAAGCAATGACCATCACTATAGCAAATTATATAGGGTTTTAATAGCAAGTAATATAGTATACAGACGACGGTTTTTAAACAACAACAAACGTATTGGACATATATAGACGACGGGTTTTCAAAAAATGTCATCTAATGCTAGCAAAAAACAAAGGCCAGCGAAATTGAACCACGACGGTAGTTAAAAAAAACCGTCATGTAGAAAAATACAGACGATGGTAGTTAAAAAAACCATCGTGTAGAAAAATACAGACGACGGTTTGTTAAAAAACCATTGTCGTATGCCTAAAAAAGCATTCTAAATATCGAAATCCCAGTTCATTTTTATGTTGGGTATTAAGAACACGTATACTAAGCATGAAACCAACATATACTAAGCATGAAAACATTAAGTCCATTCCCGATTCATAATAACAGAGAGTGATTAAAAGATCCGACAACATTAAATCCATTCCCGATTCATGGAAACATTAAACATTAAACCCATGAACCCATACCTCCGACAACATTAAAAGGTCACAAAACATATATCTAAAACCCTTTAACACATAACTGAATATCATTCAATGAATTTACAAGCATGAGATTAGGGTTTGTACTTACAGGTAGGCAGAGCTCACAGATTATGGCCAACTTGGATTCGACGGTGCCTGGAGAGCCCAACTTTGAATTAGAGTTGAAGTGAGAGAGCGAAATGTTTAAGGTCACAGATTATGGCCAACTTAGAGCGAAATGTTCAGGGTTACAAGTATAAGACTTAGAGCGAAATCTGAAAATTTTAGGTCACGGGGAAATTTTAAGAAAGCATACTCTTTAAAACATCGACGGAAAACAAAAAAACCGTCATTAAAATTTCAAAATAAACATGACGCTTATTACATTAAAGACGTCGTGGTAAATATCTTTACGACGCAAAACCAAAATACCGTCGTTAAAATGTCAAAAGAAATATGACGCTTATTACACGAAATGCGTCGTGGTAACTCCTTACGACACAAAAACAAACAAAAAAAATTGACGTATTAGAAACTAAGTATATATGTGGGGTTTGGTTTTTCTGGGATTCGAACTCGTGCGCGAACGGGTGGAATGAACAGAAAATTAAATAGACAAATATACCCTAAACCCTAAACCCTAATAAATAAAACCTAAATTATATATTTTTAAAAAAAAATTTTAGAAAAGGGATTAAGGTTTTAGGGCCTAAAATATCTCAACCATAAAACCTAAACCCCAAAAATATTCCTTTAACCCCCTAAACCCTAAACATCAAACTATAAGTGATGTTGTGACTCATCAAAACATTTTTTTTTTTGGAGGTCATTTTAAATTTGTATAACTCAAACTGCATTTTTGAAAGCTTCAGGGGGAAGAAAATATCTCAATGACTTCATAGGAGTTGACGTTGCATTTTTTGGATTTATTTTAAATTTATTTTGAATATTTTGAATTAAATAGAATAAAGTATTCTTACAAACACCAACAAACCACGTCGGCGTTAAGAAAGTAAAGACGTTGTAAATTGTAATAAACGACTTACTTGTAAAAAGAATGTCGTTTAAAAGCGAAACCGTGGTGAAATTTTCACTCAAACGACGTCGTTTAAACTCAAAATCACCACTCAGAAAATTAACTTATCTCCTTCTAAGTTCACATAAACCACGTCGTCTGTAGAACCATGAGCGTCCACTAAAATACCCAAAATGGGGGCTGAAATTATAAAAATACCCAACACCCAAAACACTTTATAAACATACCCAAAACTCATAATTATACACACTCAAAACCTATTTATAAACATACCCAAAACCCATCATTACACCCATACCCAAAACCCATTTTGGGTATGTTTCTATGTTTAAATAGTGCATGGGTATTTTTATAAATACATGTCTAGGATTGGGTATTTTTATAAATATCCATATATATTAACCATAAACCCTAAACCCCAAAAATAAACCTTTAACCCCCTAAACCCTAAACCCTAG